CCATCAACGACTCACATATACAGCAATGCGATCTGTCATTCAGTGCATTTTGTTGTTTAAAAATCACTCATGAAAATTGATGGGACAGTAATCATACCAAGCATATTCCCAAAAGACTCTTACTGAAGGAGGTCTTGGTTTCAGATGTAGAAGATTATTCTGTGTTATAGTAATTGCAGATCTATTTAAAAGCTGATCTCTCCCAAATGTGTTACATGTTGCCATACAAATTACTGAATGCGACAGACACCTGGCCATATTTGCTATTTTAAATGATACTTTTCTACTTCAGCTAATACTGAAAGCCAAGTAGTTTCATATGTTAATATCATGATTGCAAAAGTTGATGCGAGAATGCATTCTTTCACAATGCTTTGTTCCTGTAGTGAAGTTCACCATCAGTTATAATATACTTTGGCCCTGTTATAAACACAGTTCATTATTGCGTGAATTTGCTTAAAATTACGATTGCACTGTTGACCCAGTTCTCTGTGCATTCACACAGCCAGACCATTTGTTTCCAATTCACTGGCTGGCTTTTCACACAAACCTTGCCCGTCAATGTCACTTCCTGATGTGCTGTGCATGTGTAAAGCGGGAAGTGATGTCACTAGCAACCTAACGACTCGGAAGTCGGTCATTTTAGGTTCAGCTCATAAAAAAAGGGCCATCTTTGAGGACATCAGGTCACCGTTTACATCAAGTCAAACAGGATGTAATATGGTGGTGACCGTAAGATCCAGAAGTTGGCCACTTTTTCTTTTAACGTAGGAACCAGAAGATGTGCACTTTGTACACACATACAGTCAAACCGTGCCTCACCAGGTTGGCATTTTGTGGATCCCAAACAAGGACAGATTGCATTTTTNGCTTTTAACAAAGTGCCCATTAACATCAAAAGTCTCAAAGGGCTTCACACTGGATTGCTGTCAAGTAAAGACTATGTTTGCACACAACAGATGTGAGTTAATAGTACATTTGTCAGGGTTTCATACTTTGCAGTCTTAAATCTAATACAAACATGTCTGCATCCATTAGAATAATTACTTTGGTAATTTTTCTTCAAGTAAGTTTATATTTTAAGATTCATCTTTAATTCACTGAGATGAGCGCAACAGTTGTGAATAGTCAGAAGTCTCATCAAAATCTAATGTGTTTGCTTTATCAGATGTAATAATGTATAATAATCCTTGAATTTGATATAGCGCCTTATCAGGTCTTTGAGACATTTCAAAGAGCTTCACAGAATATACTGTAAAGTGAATTGACTGTATAGTTTGTGGGCAAAATACAGCAGCCAATTGTGCACAGCAGTGTCCCACAAACAGTCGTGGATTGAGTGACCAAATTATTATTATTATTTATTAGTTTATTTTTTTGAAGCCATTACCATCTCTGAAAAAGCCAATCGACTAGCAACCGGGTTCCTATTTACTGCTATGTAAACAAGTTTGTGGATTAAGGAAACTTACCTAACTTTATAAAACTTGCCATTTTTTTNGGTGGGGGGGGGATTATTACCCCCAGAATGAAATCTGCCAATCAACTAACAACCAGATTCCTACTTACTGCTGGGTAAACAGACTTGAGGAGTAAGGAAACCTGACACATGTTTTGCCCCGCCAAGAATCGAACCCAGGTCCTCTTGCTTCCAAGGTAAGTGTACCTGTTGCAAATTTTTTAAAAAAACATAGCTTACTGCTACTGGTGATCTTAAAACAACAGTTATAGACCTTGAGCCGATCCTGGCGTTGGCAAAGTGTTCCATCAGGCATTGGTGCTTGGCACTTGTGATTTACTGGCTGAAACTCTCCGGCAAAGGTGATGTATCTGGTCTTCAGCATGGCTGCCAACTCATTATTCTCACTCTCGCCCTCTTCCTCTTTGTAACTCCAAAAACTGTGCTGACAGTCCACTCTAGAAAAACCCATTCTATCTTATAAACTAAAAATTAAATGTACTCAGCTGTGATAGTCGTCATTGCATCTGCTATTTATATGCTAATACCCTTTCTGGAAGGTCCTGCAAATTATTGCACTCCGGCAAGTCAGGTGAATCTGTCCCCAAGCCACTAACTGTACAATAAAAAAGTGCACAATATTTTAAAAGGTTATTGCAAAGATTTTTTAAACTAGAATGAATCAACATTGTTGTTCCAATCAAGTGTGATTTCAGCTTACGGTTCAATGTGATCGAGCGGTCGCTGATTGTCAAATCATTAGCCAACAACGAACAAAAAGTATGTGGATGCATCAGAACACACTGGGGACTGTGCTGACAAGGCAAACCTGATTGATAAAAGGCATCTTGGTGCACTAATATTCAGATAAGTTTAACAATTTTAATAATAATCCTTCAATAATATTTATAATAATAATAATCCACTACATCATTTGATACCTTTCGGTTCAGGAGGATGTCTCACGGTGTTTCACAGGATTTACTGTACAGTAGTGACTGGATTTTTGTGGGTGAGCACAGCAGCAAATTTGCACACGGCAATGTCCCACAAGAGGACAATGTAGTGAATGAGCAAATTTTATCTGTTATTATTTATTCAGCTTTTACTGTTTTGGATTAGTTTCACTGTATCCTTTGTTCTTACATTTTTGGGCATTTTGGGGCACTGTCTGCCTCTCTTTGCATATCAAGAATAAAACATTCAGAGATAAGATAAAACTGAGCTCAGGGTGTTTACAACAGTCTCCTTTGACCACCACTTTATCCTTATTCACAATACAATGCACATATACACGTCTTATTGATAACCAGTGTTAACAGCCCAAGATTTATTTTGAATGGAAGTTTTTATTTAAAATAAAGCTTTAAATTGATTTTCAAACGTTTTCAAAATGTTGAACATGCTGTTGTCAATGGAAAGCAAAAATCAGTACTGGAGCAACCAGTGGACATTCTGAAATCAGTCTACTTTCGTACAAAGATCACATTTTTATGGTGGCTTATGACATCGAAAATACTTCAAAGGTAATTACTGTCAAGTGTTGTGGCTATTTCTGTAGACAATAATTATAATAATCCTTGCATAATTATAATAGCACCTTATCAAATTCTGTGCTGTAAATTTTACAAAATTTTGTAAATTTTAAATATTATGAATATAACATTTTGGAAATCCACTGGGATAGTGTGAAATTAGTTATAGTTTAGAAAAGTCGATGTGGACGATCTCCAATTGAACTCATGGCTAAGAGGTCAGAAATTCCATCCCATCTTAATCATTTGATCTTAAAATTTAGGATGGTGCAGAATCGTGGAAAATTCTTAAATAGTCTTAATTTAGAATCTTGAAAATCTAGCTTCCAAATTAAGACTGAATTTAAGACCTTCTTGGCAACCTTGAACATCAAGACAAAATGGTTTGACAGACTAAGAGTCGGTGGAATTTCAGGTCTCAGGCCGGAAATTCCCATTTGGGTACGGTATATGAAATAGCTCAATCAGGGCTCCCTGATTTACCCTCAGCTTTTGAGAAGCATCAGACCTCAGCTCAACCCTTCCCACAGTCAAGGTTTTGATGATGGAGAATTTACCAGTGAATGGAATCGCGAGAATGATCACCGAGCTTATTGTACAGCTACAGCAATGAATCCCGAGTGATTGTCTATCTCTACATCCTAAACCGGAGTCAAGATTTTTTTCCTGCTTACGCTCCATTCCCCTCATTTTGTCATCAGAAAGCTGAGCCTTTGACCATCACCTCCCGAATACTCATCCAAAAATCTCTTAAGTCTTTCTACAGCACCTCTACCAGTTTTCAAAAATCTCCTAAAGAAAAATACTCTCTCTTCCATCACACCTTTGGCCACCTCTAAGTTCCTTCCATTTATATCCAGCACCACTCCCATTGTTAAACACTCCAAAATGTTCTTTTATTTGAATGCGGCTCTATATTTGTATGTTGTTCTCCACTTAAGCACTATTCAAAGTGTCGAATCTTCAATGTACTGGTACAGTGGTACACTAAAGTGGCATGGAGAGTGGAATCTAGTGGATCATACCTGCGGCTGTGCCTCAGCAAGTAACCAACTTCAGCGGGGGAACCTTTCCATAGCTGATTACAGAGCAGCATTGGATCTGAAAACCAATCGCCTCCCTGACCCTCGGTTACATTATACCTTGGAGAATGGAGCCCGGAGAAGGGTAAGAGTATTTTTTAAAAAAAAAGTGGGAAATTTTAAAATAAAATACTTGCAATAGATTTTGCATTTAAGTGGCTTGAAGGCTCAGACCATAACTACATTTACAATTCCATACTTTTACAGCATTGAAACATGCCATTTGGCCTAACCAGCCTGTGCCAGTGCATAATATATTCTGAGAAAATAATATCTCGGGATTGAAATTAATATCTCGGGATACAGTACATAGTTTGGGACACGACATGTCAAGCGACTGCCAGGATGGTGGAAGGCGAATTAGATGGACCTTGGTCTTTTTTCGCCTAGCAAATGTTCTTATGTTCTCACTCATGGAGTCCTGTAGCTCAGTGGTTAGAGAACTTGCCTTGCAAGCGAGATACCTGGATTCAATTCCAGGCAGGGTGAAACCTTGGGCAAGTTTCCTTACTCCACACGCCTAGAATCCCTCCAAAACAAAAAACATGGTCATTTTCAACGAAAGACTGTTTGTGGGACAATTGGCTGCCACGTTTTGCCCACAAATATACAGTGAATTCACTTTACAGTATATTCTGTGAAGCGCTTTGAGACGTCTAGAAAACATGAAAAAGCGCTATATCAAATGCAAGGATTATTATTATTATTATTATTAGCAGGGCCAATAGAAAATTGCGGGGGGTTGATTGGTGCTATTGAGATCTATTTTACTGCCAACCTACAAATTTTCACTTTATTGATAAAGACTAAACATGAAGAAAGAACACATATTAGATTGTTAGAAAGAAAAAAATTATTAGTGCTTTCTTTAACAAAAAGTGGGTGGCCACTCAGGAGTGGGGAGGGGTGGGGGAGAAACACTTCTACCCTGGCAAACACCAACATTTCTCACCAAACTCACCAGAGTCACCACCTCTTGCCACCACTGTACAATATATTCTGTGAAGCACTTTGAGACATCTCAACAACGTGATAAGACGCTTTATCAAATACAAGGATTATGTGCTTTGAGACATCCTCAATGTGAAAGGTGTGTGTATATATATATGTATAAAATGGTTGTTGTACCTTCTAACCTATATAGGGGTACCTCCAGCCCACCAGTTCACATTGCATGAAGGGTCCGGCCTTAACCGTAACCTACCTTTCTCCTTCAGAAGTTTATTGACCTGCTGCACATTGCAAAACAGTTTGGGCTCAACAAAAAACACAGCACTAAATCTTGCAGGAAATATTTCTTGCCAGTTCTCCTCTAGATGGCTGCATCTTGCCCTGACACACAACACAAACTCCCCCTAGTGGAGGACCTTGGGCTCTCATTTCACCAGAGTTGCAAGAATTATTTTTTTCCCCCCTCATTTTTCACTGCAAACACAGAACTAAGATATTCCATAGCATTCAATCTGTCAAACTGAACTAACACTTGCAGTGAGGAGGAACTGAGTTGTTAGTCAATAGGCGGATCGCTTCCCGGGGGCAATAATCGCTCAAAAAAAAGTGGTCACTCAATTTACGACTGTTTGTGGGATACTGCTGCGTGCAATTGGCTGCTACACTTTGCCCACAAATACAAACTCAACTTGCTTTACAATAATATTCTATACAATATGAAGCACAAAATTAAAATTTAAGACAGAGTTGTGGAAACTCCTTAAAACTCTGCCCAAGTGTGAAGTTAGAAGTCTTTCTTTTAAAAAAAACAAGTAAACAACTTTCAATTAAAGACCATAATTTAACAATTTGTTAACAACAACTTGCATTTATATGGCACCTTTCACAGTTCAGCATCTCACAGTGCTTATACTTGCATAATAATCCTTGCATTTGATACAACACCATTCATGTCGGGAAGACTCCTCAAAACACTTCACAGGAGTTCCTGCAAAGTGCAGTGACTGTGGATTTTATTAACAATTCCGTCAAGTCTTACATTTTAAGATGAAAAAGTGAGTAACTCATGGATGTAGAGTTACTCACCACTTTTCTATTCCTATTCTTGTAACTGATGTTCATCTCCTCGTGCTTCTTCACTGCTGTCTCCATTGCATTTTTTAAATCAATAGCTTGCTTCAAGCGAACATCGTGAACACCAGCCTTGGTGAATATCTGATGCAAAATTAAGAATTAATAATAATATTATCCTTGCATTTGATAAAGCACCTCAAAAGTCGTCAAGACGTCAAACATGCTTCATAGGATATACTGTAAAGTGGGTTGACTGGGTATTTTATAGACGAATATGCCAGCAAATCTGCGTACAGCAATATGCTACAGACAGCCAAAGAAGTAAATTACAAATTTTATATGAGAGATTGTTGACTAAGCAACCGGGAGAAACTCCCTTCTCAAATAGTGCCATGGGATCTTTATAGGGACGCAGAGCCTGGGGTTAAATACTCATCTAAAGAACAGCACTCCCAACAATGGAGCCCACACCCAGCACCGCATTGGAATGTCAGCCTTGTCTATTTGAGCTCAAAGTTCAACACAGGACTTAAAACTCTGACTCCGAGGCGGGAATGCTTCCGACTAAGCCTGGATGACGTCCAAGTCTTCTGAAAGCTCTATTTTAATAACAAGTAAATACAATGCGATCCGGAAATTAATTACTGAAATTAGAATTTGTTATAAAAAANTCACGATTACTAAGTGATGACGACAAACTTTGAAGTCCTGACTATAAAGTCCTTCTACATTCCATCTCAGTGTATATCTGCTTTTACACAATAGGAGAAGCATTAACTGTAGCAAAGCCACACATTTATACAGAACTATATAATGGACTGATGCTTCCACTGTACTTGAAAATGGTGAATAGACACAGTCTCAAAGGCTAAACCCGTCTTCTGTTGTAGTGAATGGAGAGGAGCTATCCTTTACTGTGGTTCAATCAGCTCTTTTGGAGAAATATTTATCTGGGAGTAAAATACAATCTGCAGTCCCCAGAGAAAGGTCACTCTCAAATATACACGTCAGCATTAAGACATGTGCATCTTGTGTGTACTTTGTCTATTTTAAAAGCACCTAACCTGTTAATAACCATATCAGTCATTATTTGCATACTATTTTGCAATTTCTTTTCAATTCCTGACTTGGGTACTTGCCTGTCCTTGATCTCAATAAAGATGGATGTGAAGTTTTTAATAATTTCAAAACAATAATTTCATTGTTCCCCCAACCCCAGCTGCCGATGATTATGTTTAAGTGGATCCGTACTTTATTTCGTCCTCTCTTTACTCCCTATATTTGAAAATTTATCCAAGATGTTAGCACTTTTACTTTGAGTTTCTCATGTCTGTTTTTTTTTAAATCTGTTCTTTTTTGTAGCCTGCTTTGGTTTTCAATAACAACTGCATGATACTATCCTGTAGTAAGTGTGGAGTTCTGTAGCGTGTTGGTTAAAGAACTCGCCTCACAAGCCAGAGGACCCAGGTTTGATCCTCAGCAGGGAGAAACCTTAGGCAAGTTTCCTTACTCCACATGCTTTTATTTACTCAGCAGTAAGTAGGAACCCAGTTGTTAGTCAATTCAGGTAATAATCCCTTCAAAAAAAAAATCCAAAAAAAAATGTGGTCACTCACTCCATGGGGGATACTGCTGTGTGCAATTGGCTACCGGTTTCACAATGACTTGATATAAATGCAAGGATTATTAATATTACTATTAAATCCACAAGCACAGTAAGCCCTATATAAACACCACAGCATTTGGTGATCAAGTCAAAACACAAATCAGATATGGAACTGACATTTTATAATTCTGAAACTGGAAGCAATAATAATACTTAATTTACAATCTTACAAGGAAGCCACTTCAAAGTATACTGGATTCTTTAGGGACAACCCTGTATCCTTTTAAGTTTTAGCAAAATATAATCAGGGCTAATAGATCTATACACACAAATAAAATATTGAATTTACTCCACAAAACTCTATATTAATAGGCCAAATAAACAAGATTGTTGGTTAGGGGACTTGACAAAACAGATTACCATAAAACTAAAAGTTATTAAGTGACATGAAAAATAAACAGAACTAACTACTGGTGGGAGTCACAAATCCTCTGATTTGGGGCCATATGGCAAGTTCTTTGAAATTCAATATTGAAAGTACCCTTTTCAGTTTTGCGTCAACCTTCTCCATGTAGATCCCCAAAACTTAATATTATACAACTCGATTCTGATCATGAGGGCTGATCACTAAATGATGACGGAAGCTGATCAATCCAGTAGTCAATTCATTTTAAATCTTGATTCTAAATAGGAGCACTCATGGAAGGGGAAGAAAACACCAGGCTGCTCATAGAAGAACCTTGCACTTTACCTCTGAAAACCTGAGGACTCACTCTAACCCAAATGTTCACTGGGGAGGTAGCATAAACTCATCATTAAAGAAGAAAGCTATTTACCATTGTTTCTGCAATAGAAAATAGATATTTATTTGCATCAAAATGAAAAAAATCCATTGCCATTGTAATAAAGTTTATTAAACCTGAAAATCTATTTTAAAAATGTGGTATGAAAACAAAACATCTTCGAGACGTCTTAAAGCACTTCACAGAATATACTGTAAAGTGACTTGACTGTATTTTTGTGGGTGAAACGCAGCAGCCAATTGCGTGCAGCAGTGGATTGAGTGACCAAATTATTAACTTTTTTTTATAAATTGGTCTACAATAGGCCAGTATACACAATTAAATCAGTGTTAACAGATGTTTTCTGTCACTAGAGGCCTCTACAAAAGTTCAAATAAATATTCTGGATAAGACGCTACATACTTTTAAAAAATTTACCACAGAGAAACTTCCATCTCTTTTTGAAAGGTGCTATGAGATGGTTAACCTCGACCTGAACAGGCAGACAGGACCTCAGTTTAATGTCTCATCAGTAAGATGGCACCTCCAACAATGCAGCACTGCACTGGAGTGCCAGATGTCAGCCTACGCTGCGAGTCCCTACTTGGGGCTTGAACCAACATTCCTCTGGCTTAAGAGGCGATAGTACTACCAGCTGAGCAAGGCTAAACATTTCCTGGTGCCTGTCCTGAAATTGCCCTTTGTACCCTGAACCTGTGCCATCTTGTTCTGCTGCCTTGGCGTACCTTAAAGTATTATTCTATCTTTATTTTCTCATTCTAATTTATACCTCTATAAGATCCCCAGATATTTTATAGACTCTTCTACATTGATGTCACATACCACATTGCCTTCCAATTAGTCCGATGCCATCTCAATGCCTCATCATAGAAACCACATGAAAATGGCAATTCTGAATCAGAAAGCAGGCATTTCAAGAGAAGATGCTTTTATATATTTTAAACAATTCTAAATTTACAGTAAAAACATTTTTTGAGCCTACGTACAACAGCTCTGTCTTGGAGTATCTTTGGAATATTGTAGCTCAAGAACATATTCAACTGAATTAAACCCGTCGAATGCAAATTCTGATTCATTCAACCCTATCATAAAGATTCCTGAAACTGTTTATTCCACAAATAGAACCTCAATCTGTATTTAACCTCATTCCTAATCAATCTGTTAAACCGTTCCCATGAAAAGATGAATGATTTATGCATTTAAAACTGCACATTCTTGTTTCTAATCTTGTTTTCTTTATGTACTCCTCTAACAGCAGTTTTGTTAAATTCATACCTGGATCCAGTACTTGACAGTCGGTAGGTACTTTTTAGTTACTAGTCTTTCAAAGTCCTTTATGTTGCTGACCACAGCAGTGTTGTCTTCATCCTCACGGACCTTCAAGCCTAGTAGCCAAAGATGGAAACTGACATTACATCTTAGAAATGCTTTAATGTGTAACTTTAAAACATAACTAAACCAATTTACTTAGACATTGGTGCATAGATGACTATTTCACATCAAGTTTTTGTTTCGAATCTTTGGAGTTCGGATGTGGTTCAAAAGGTTACAATTCCATCATAACGTCACAGAAAACCTATAACACAGAGGAACCTGTTCAGCTCATTATATCTGTGCTATAAACTTCCTACAACACAAGAAAGTCACTACTTTATGAACTAACTTTATAAACTGATAACAAAAATTAGTATTTAGTCCTCCTTGCCCAATACTACTACTAAAATTAATTCTTATAGCTTGCAATTCTGGCACTCAAACCAACAGGAAAATCTTCAAGCACAAAACATGGGAATTTTCAAGAGGTAATTTATTAGTATCTCAGCACAAGTGTCAGCATCAAGTTAGCTGATATAACAGTTTAGAAATGGGGATGGGAAGACCGGTACTAGCAGATTATATTTATCTGATGTTGTTAGAAGCACTACAAGCAGACTTGCCCTCAGAGTGGGTTGTAAAATGTCTCTTACAACTGTTGAAAGGTGGCCATAATTTAAAAGCTATGAGAGCAAGGGATCAATAGATGCAGCCAAATCTTACAGAAGAAGTCATCATGTTAGAGAATAATAGGTACCTGGGAGTGAACATGAGATTACAATCTAATCACAAGGTTCAGATGACATGTTGAACCAGGAGAGCAAAGCTCAAGCCGTTAATAATTATTATATGAACCAAAGCTTAAGTCAAAGTGGATAATTAATCTTTGTGATATTTGTGTACAACATTATATATGGTTTTTATATTATGTGGATTTCTTTTTAAAAAATTATGTTGATGCCTGCGGCCTCTAATAATAATCCTTGCATTTGATTATAGCGCCTTATCACTTTTTTCAAGATATTTCAAAGGGTTTCACAGAATAAAGTGAATTGACTGTATATTTTGTGGGCAAAACTTTAGGTCTTTGATCTATAATAGCATTTTTGGAAGAGTTTATTACCCCCGGAAAAGTGATCTGCCAACTGACTAACAACCGGATTCCTACCTGCTGCTAGGCAAACGGAGGAGTGCGGAGTAAGGAAACTTGCTCAACGGTTTGCACTGCTCGGGAATCGAACTCAGGTCCTCTCGTTTGCAAAGCGAATGCTCTAACCACTAAGCCGCAAGACTCCATATCCTAATGATCAATTAATCTAGATAAATGTTGACCAGAACACCAGGAGAAACTCCTTTCTCTTTTCAAATTTCTCTTGTCATGGGATCTTCAACATCCATCTGATTAGACAGATGGAATGAGGGTTTAAATTTCATCCACAGGACAGTTTCTGTGACAATGTGGAGTTCTATACTCAGTGGTTAGAGTACTCGCCTCACAAGCGAGAAACCTGGGTTCGATTCCTGGCAGGGCGAAACCTTAAGGTAAGTTTCCTTACTTTGCACACCTCTGTTTACCTAGCAGTAAGCAGGAAGCCAGTCATTAGTCGATTGGAAGATCACTTTTCTGGGGGTAATAATTCCTTCAAAATCACAATAAATAGGTCACTGTTGTGCGCAACTGGCTGCCGAGTTTCACCCACAAAATATAGTCAATTCGCTTTATAGTTTATTCTGTGGTGCACTTTAAGTCTTCTCGAAGACGTGACAAGGATTATTATTGTAATGTAGAGGAGTCAGAGAGAAAGAAGGGCTGGCATGGTGCAATATTATAGAGATTGTAAAGCTCCCAAAGGAAGAATTTTTTGGGTAGCTCTGTAGATAATTTGTACCTTGTCCAATTATTCACTGTTTGTTTGTTTATCCACATTGGGCCAGTTCCAATTTGTGCAGAAAACCGACTGTATTAAAGACCTAATATCTATTTAATCCATATATACCTGTGTCAATTTCTAGGTTGAGAAAATATTTGTGGGATACAAGGCCATGATTTCTAATAAAGGTTTCTTCATTTTCTTCATCTGACGAATTCTCGACGAATGGCTTCTCCTCCACCCCCCGTACTGTCTCATGTGGTGTCCCTCAGGGCTCTGTCCTTGGTCCCCTCCTCTTCACCCTCTATATGCTCCCCCTTGGTGACATCATCCGCAGACATGGAGTTAACTTCCACATGTATGCGGATGACACCCAACTCTACCTTTCCTCCTCTACTCTCAACTCCACGACCCCCGATGTCCTGACAGCTGCCTGTCCGACATCGAGTCCTGGACGAGAGACAACTTTCTTCAGCTCAACGTGCGAAAAACCGAGGCCCTCCTGATTGGCTCACGTCAGCGCCTCCGCACCTCAGGCGCTGACACCATCAGCATCCAAGGCTGCACTCTCCACCTCGCAAAGCCAGTCAGGAACCTCGGGGTTCCCCTCGACCCTGAGCTGTCCTTTCTCCCTCACATCCGCACAACTGGCACCGCCTTCCATCACCTACGGAACATCGCCAGACTACGGCATTACCTCACCCCTCACGCTGCTGAAACTCTGGTTCACGCCTTTGTCACCTCAAGGCTGGACTATGGGAACTCTCTCCTCGCCGGCCTTCCCGCCACCTCCCTCCACACTGCAGGTCATTCAGAACTCTGCAGCTCGTGTACTGTCCCGCACCAGACACCGCGACCACACCACACCCACCCTCGCTCGCCTCCACTGGCTCCCCATCCCCCAGAGGATTGATTTCAAGATCCTCATCCTCACCTACAAGGCCATTCACGGCCTTGCTCCCTCCTACCTCTCCAACCTACTATCCCCCTACCTACCTGCCCGTACCCTCCGTTCCTCTGGCTCCGGTCTGCTCCACGTCCCCCGCCCCAACCGCCCTACCATCGGTGGTCGGGCCTTCAGCCTCTCAGCCCCCAGGCTCTGGAACTCCATCCCCCAGTGCCTTCGCCGCTTCCTCCCTTTCCTCCTTCAAGGCCGGTCTCAAAACCTTTCTCTTTGACCGAGCCTTCAGCTCCCCTCTCGACTCTCTTCCCCCTCCTCGCTCCCTCCCTTCCCTCCCCTCACCCTGACCATTTCCCCCCTCCTCGCTCCCTCCCTTCCCTCCCCTCACCCTGACCATTTCCCCCCTGCTCGGGTCATGACCCAACTGTGCAGCCCCTTGGGACGTCCTCCTGACGTGAAAGGCGCTTTATAAATGGAATCTTGTTGTTGTTGTTGTTGTTGATTCAAATTCTTCACTTTCACTGCTTCCATCCTGTTGTGGGCTCTCTGTCTTTTCACCCAAGGCCTGATTTTCCGGAGTTATTTTCACTGAAGGCAGTGGTGGAAAGTCCTTACTGCTGCATGGCTGCTCATCATCAAACAGATCCATGCAATGTGGATGGACACCTTGCTGTCCGCTGGCGATACAGTTTGACTGATCTGTTTCATCAGTTACTTCCTGTTCAAGCAGACAGTCATTCCCATTAATGGTGAACTCATCGAGATGTGGCATCAGAAAATGGAAACAGGCCTCCAGCTCTGTCAGACAATTCTGCATTTCCTCAGTCATCTCTGTTCCGAAACAAAAAGATAAAAATAAGACAAGAAAAACAGCTGTAGCCCCATGTACAGAAAAAAGGGCTTTAAATTATATGCCAACAACAACTATATAGTGTTCTTTTCGTAGGCTAACGTCTCATCTCTGAGTGCTTTACAGGGATGGAATTGGATGCCAAGGGAGGAGGAGGGGGAGAGGGCCATAGGTACGTTACCACAGGAGACCTAAAGTGGTCTATAGCTATGAACACTTTATCCCAAATAAAATTGGTCACTCACGCCTTGGTTATTTGTGGGACATTGCTGTGCGCAAACTGGCTGTTGCATTTCACCCACAAAATAATCATTCCATAGCATATCCTGTAAGCTCTTTGAGACATCTTGAAGACGTGATATGGCGCTATATCAAGTTCAGGAATTAATATTATTATCTCTTCCGAAGAAGAGAGCCTAAAATACACCTCTGGTTCTCGCTACTGTCAATAATATGCAACATTTAAATTGTATTTTCCTACAAAAAAAGTCACTATACTTTTTGCAAGGCTTATTATTAAATTATTTACTGTCCAGAAGAGTGGAATTAAGATAGGCAGCTCACATGAAGATAATTCCATTAAATAAAAACACAGCTATGTCAAAAACAAACTAAAAATACCTGCCATTTCTTCTTCGACTCTCTTCACTTTCACTTTATTAATATTCTCCAATCTTCTCTGTCTCTCCTCCTCTCGCTTCCTCTCAGCCTGAGTTCTAGCTCGAATATCTTGAAAATCAACCTGAGAATGGGAGCAAAATAAAATGTATTGCAATAATTACAATAAATAAGTAGAAACAGTTTCCTCTGGTGAGTAGATCGGTAATGAGAAGACACAGATTTAAGATAATTGGCAAAATTATCAGAGGGGAAGACGTGGAGAATGTCATGGTGGTGCCGTCCTTTGGATGAGACATTAAACTGAGGCCCCATCTGCTTGTTCAGATGGACGTTAAATATCCCATGGCACTATTTGAAAAGATAAGGCCCCAGTGCCTTGGCCAACAATCCGTCCTGAACAAATTGGTCATTCACTTCATGAATTTGTAGGACATTGCTGTGTGCAAATTGGCTGCCTTGTTCACCTATAAAATACAGTCTCTACACTTTACACTAAAACTCTGAAGTGCTTTGAGACATCTTAATGACATAAAAAGCATTATATCAAATACGAGGATTACTGATAAAATATAAAACAAAATTAATGAATAATAATCCTTGCATTTTATACAGCACCTTTTCACGTTGTGAAGACATCTCAATGTGCTTCACAGTGGTGTGATTGTGTTTATCTTCTAGGTAAAATTATTATTAACCTGTATTTTAATATTAAAACAGAAAACTCAGAATATGTAACCTCTGAGTACTTTTGTATGTAGCAATTTTTTTTTAAATAGCCCTAACTAATCAAGGATATAGTAGGGCAATATTTAACAAAACAAATTTACCTGTTTGATGTGCTTTAGGAAATGATAACCCAGGGAGAGTTTCTTGTAAGCATCACCATATTTCTCTTGCCATTCCTGCACGGATTTAATGGCTAACCGCTTCAGTTTCTGAGCGACCTCTTTTGGCGGTGGCAGAGGCTGGTCATAATCCGTTTCCACCGTCAATTCCAAAAACTCCTGAAAGTCCGAAACAAGCAGCGTCCGAAACTGATGTGAACGCGCAAAGAGTTTGTTCACTATTTGAAATGCAGATAGCCGGATCTCTGCATGGTCTTTGTTCAGCTGCGTCATGAGTAAATGGTACACTTGCTTGATATAATCTTCGGATGACCTGTGAAATGATTTTCCTTTTAATAATGGTCTGGGTTTAAACACATTTATTTGCATTCTGTTCTCCAGTACACCCGGTGGCCACATACACATAACACAGTGTTTCTGTGTTGTGGTTTACTCCACAACAAAATTACATTCATATATTTACATCCCAGTATTTACATCGGGAGCACGTAAATACTCAGCATTTACTTTGCTAGCAAGATGGATAGGATTCTATCATTATTTCTCAAAAATGTCCTATTTTAAAATGTAATACAGCAGCTTTTAACTTTAACGTATAAATCATTGAGGAATATTGAGATCTGTATTCTAGAAATGCAATGAGCAGCCTTAACCACAAGGGGATACTGTTAAGGAGATTAAAAATTAAAATGAACACTTTTTCCAAAAAATATTCCATTAGTACAGTATTTTAATAATGTTACTTTCTTTGTTACACAGTGCAGCTAAAGGTCAAACAAATTACTTGTTTTATTAACAGGTTCTTTACTCTTGGTTAAGTATACAGAATTTATTTATTGCGTCAGTGCATACTTGCAAACTTTCTTGAGTTCCTTCATTTTTTCTGAGTTGAGCGTTGGCTCTCCTGAGGTCGTGAGATCCTCCACCAGTTGAGAAAGTCTCTCACACTGCTGCAGCTCCATTGCTGCAAAAAAGCAATGACAACATCAGTGTATTTTTAATATCAAATGGAGATTTTCTAATAGGAGCTGATGTGGTGTGGAGCTGAGTTTAGAGATGCTCTGCTGAGAAGAGCTGGGGTGCTGTGGGACTGACTTTAGATATATTTTTTAAAAAGGGAGTATTACCCTTGGAAAGCAATCTGCCAATTGACAAGAACCGGGTTCCTACTTACTGCAAGGTAAACAGAGGCGTGTGGAGTAAGGAAACTTACCTAAGATTTCATCCAGCTCGGGAATCAAACCCAGGTCTTCTGGCTTGTGAGGCAGGCACGCTAAGTCGTGCTCGGGACTCCACTTTAGACAGACTAAGAGGGGCTGGGGGTGAGGGACTGACTTTAGACAGTCTCTGAGAGGAGCTGGAGGCGAGGGGCTGACTTTAGACAACAAAAAAATTACATTTATATAGCGCCTTTCGCATCGGGAGGACGTCCCAAGGCACTGGACAGAGTTTGGGAACCGAGCTGAGGGTCGGGATGGGGGAGGGTGGGAGATGGAAAGCACGGTCGAAAAGGAGGGTCTTGTATCCTCTGTGCGATAGGAAGCCAGTGAAGTCAGGCCTGGATGGGGGTAATAGGGTCATGGAGCCCAGTGCGGGAGAGGACATGGGCTGCAGAGTTCTGGATGATCTGCAGCTTGTGGAGGGAGGGGAGTGGGGAGGCCGACAAGCAATGAGTTGGCATAGTTGAGCCTCGATGTAATGAAGGCGTTTATGAGGGTTTCGGCGGCTGCAGTGTCAGACAGTGGCGGAGTCGGGCAACGTTGCGGAGGTGGGAAAGGCAGAGCGAGTCATGGCGTAGATATAGGGTAGAAAGGTTAGTTGAGTGGTCAAGGGGGTGAGGAGCTGAGGGTGATGTTGAGGGGTTGAGGGTGAGGGGGTGAGGGTGATGTTGAGGGGCTGAGGGTGAGGGGCTGAGGGTGAGGGGGCGAGGGCTGAGGGTGATGTTGAGGGGCTGAGGGTGAGGGTGATGTTGAGGGGCTGAGGGTGAGGGGCTGAGGGTGAGGGGCTGAGGGTGAGGGTGATGTTGAGGGGCTGAGGGTGAGGGGCTGAGGGTGAGGGGGTGAGGGCTGAGGTTGAGGGGCTGAGGGTGATGTTGAGGGGCTGAGGGTGAGGGGCTGAGGGTGAGGGGCTGAGGGTGAGGGGCTGAGGGTGAGGTTGAGGGGCTGAGGGTGAGGGGCTGAGGGTGAGGGGCTGAGGGGCTGAGGGTGAGGGTGATGTTGAGGGGCTGAGGGTGAGGGTGATGTTGAGGGGCTGAGGGTGAGGGTGAGGGGCTGAGGGTGAGGGTGAGGGTGATGTTGAGGGGCTGAGGGTGAGGGGCTGAGGGTGAGGGTGATGTTGAGGGGCTGAGGGTGAGGGTGATGTTGAGGGGCTGAGGGTGAGGGGCTGAGGGTGAGGGGGTGAGGGGCTGAGGGTGAGGGGGTGAGGGGCTGAGGGTGAGGGGCTGAGGGTGAGGGTGATGTTGAGGGGCTGAGGGTGAGGGGCTGAGGGTGAGGGGGTGAGGGGCTGAGGGTGAGGGGCTGAGGGTGAGGGGGTGCGGGGCTGAGGGTGAGGGGCTGAGGGTGAGGGGGTGAGGGGCTGAGGGTGAGGGGCTGAGGGTGAGGGTGATGTTGAGGGGCTGAGGGTGAGGGGGTGAGGGGCTGAGGGTGAGGGGCTGAGGGTGAGGGGCTGAGGGGCTGAGGGTGAGGGGGTGAGGGGCTGAGGGTGATGTTGAGGGGCTGAGGGTGAGGGTGAGGGGGTGAGGGGGTGAGGGTGAGGGGCTGAGGGTGAGGGTGATGTTGAGGGGCTGAGGGTGAGGGGGTGAGGGGCTGAGGGTGAGGGGGTGAGGGGCTGAGGGTGAGGGTGAGGGGGTGAGGGGCTGAGGGTGAGGGGGTGAGGGGCTGAGGGTGATGTTGAGGGGCTGAGGGTGAGGGGGTGAGGGTGAGGGGGTGAGGGGCTGAGGGTGATGTTGAGGGGCTGAGGGTGAGGGGGTGAGGGGGTGAGGGTGAGGGGCTGAGGGTGAGGGTGATGTTGAGGGGCTGAGGGTGAGGGGGTGAGGGGCTGAGGGTGAGGAGGTGAGGGGCTGAGGGTGAGGGGGTGAGGGGCTGAGGGTGAGGGGGTGAGGGGCTGAGGGTGAGGGGCTGAGGGTGAGGGGGTGAGGGGCTGAGGGTGAGGGGCTGAGGGTGAGGGTGATGTTGAGGGGCTGAGGGTGAGGGGGTGAGGGGCTGAGGGGGTGAGGGGCTGAGGGTGAGGGTGAGGGGGTGAGGGGCTGAGGGTGAGGGGGTGAGGGGCTGAGGGTGATGTTGAGGGGCTGAGGGTGAGGGTGAGGGGGTGAGGGTGAGGGGCTGAGGGTGAGGGTGAGGGGGTGAGGGGCTGAGGGTGAGGGGGTGAGGGGGTGAGGGTGAGGGGCTGAGGGTGAGGGGGTGAGGACTGAGGGTGAGGGGGTGAGGGGCTGAGGGTGATGTTGAGGGGCTGAGGGTGAGGGTGAGGGGGTGAGGGGCTGAGGGTGAGGGGCTGAGGGTGAGGGGGTGAGGGGCTGAGGGTGAGGGGCTGAGGGTGAGGGTGATGTTGAGGGGCTGAGGGTGAGGGGGTGAGGGGCTGAGGGTGTGAGGGGCTGAGGGTGAGGGGGTGAGGGGCTGAGGGTGAGGGTGAGGGTGAGGGGCTGAGGGTGAGGGGGTGAGGGTGAGGGTGAGGGGCTGAGGGTGAGGGGTGAGGGTGAGGGGTGAGGGTGAGGGGGTGAGGGTGAGGGGTGAGGGTGAGGGGGTGAGGGTGAGGGGGTGAGGGTGAGGGGTGAGGGTGAGGGTGAGGGGCTGAGGGTGAGGGGTGAGGGTGAGGGGGTGAGGGGCTGAGGGTTGGGGGTGAGGGGCTGAGGGTTGGGGGTGAGGGGCTGAGGGTGAGGGGGTGAGGGGCTGAGGGTGAGGGTGAGGGGCTGAGGGTGAGGGTGAGGGGCTGAGGGTGAGGGGGTGAGGGGCTGAGGGTGAGGGCTGAGGGTGAGGGGGTGAGGGCTGAGGGTGAGGGGCTGAGGGTGAGGGGCTGAGGGCTGAGGGTGAGGGGCTGAGGGTGAGGGGGTGAGGGGCTGAGGGTGAGGGGCTGAGGGTGAGGGTGAGGGGCTGAGGGTGAGGGGCTGAGGGTGAGGGGCTGAGGGTGAGGGTGAGGGTGAGGGCTGAGGGTGAGGGTGAGGGGCTGAGGGTGAGGGGGTGAGGGGCTGAGGGTGAGGGTGAGGGCTGAGGGTGAGGGGGTGAGGGGCTGAGGGTGAGGGCTGAGGGTGAGGGGGTGAGGGTGAGGGGCTGAGGGTGAGGGGCTGAGGGTGAGGGTGAGGGGCTGAGGGTGAGGGGGTGAGGGTGAGGGCTGAGGGTGAGGGGCTGAGGGTGAGGGGCTGAGGGTGAGGGGGTGAGGGTGAGGGCTGAGGGTGAGGGCTGAGGGTGAGGGTGAGGGCTGAGGGTGAGGGGGTGAGGGCTGAGGGTGAGGGGGTGAGGGGCTGAGGGTGAGGGGGTGAGGGTGAGGGCTGAGGGTGAGGGCTGAGGGTGAGGGGGTGAGGGCTGAGGGTGAGGGGCTGAGGGTGAGGGTGAGGGGCTGAGGGTGAGGGTGAGGGTGAGGGGGTGAGGGGCTGAGGGTGAGGGCTGAGGGTGAGGGGGTGAGGGTGAGGGCTGAGGGTGAGGGGCTGAGGGTGAGGGTGAGGGTGAGGGTGAGGGCTGAGGGTGAGGGGGTGAGGGCTGAGGGTGAGGGGGTGAGGGCTGAGGGTGAGGGGGTGAGGGCTGAGGGTGAGGGGGTGAGGGCTGAGGGTGAGGGTGAGGGCTGAGGGTGAGGGGGTGAGGGGCTGAGGGTGAGGGGCTGAGGGTGAGGGGGTGAGGGCTGAGGGTGAGGGGGTGAGGGCTGAGGGTGAGGGGGTGAGGGTGAGGGTGAGGGGTGAGGGTGAGGGTGAGGGCTGAGGGTGAGGGCTGAGGGTGAGGGGGTGAGGGTGAGGGCTGAGGGTGAGGGTGAGGGCTGAGGGTGAGGGGGTGAGGGTGAGGGTGAGGGTGAGGGTGAGGGCTGAGGGTGAGGGGGTGAGGGTGAGGGTGAGGGGTGAGGGTGAGGGGTGAGGGTGAGGGTGAGGGGCTGAGGGTGAGGGGTGAGGGGGTGAGGGCTGAGGGTGAGGGGGTGAGGGTGAGGGTGAGGGTGAGGGCTGAGGGTGAGGGGGTGAGGGGGTGAGGGTGAGGGTGAGGGGCTGAGGGTGAGGGGGTGAGGGGTGAGGGCTGAGGGTGAGGGGTGAGGGTGAGGGGGTGAGGGCTGAGGGTGAGGGTGAGGGCTGAGGGTGAGGGGCTGAGGGTGAGGGGGTGAGGGTGAGGGTGAGGGTGAGGGGCTGAGGGTGAGGGTGAGGGGGTGAGGGCTGAGGGTGAGGGTGAGGGCTGAGGGTGAGGGTGAGGGTGAGGGTGAGGGGGTGAGGGGCTGAGGGTGAGGGGGTGAGGGCTGAGGGTGAGGGGGTGAGGGCTGAGGGTGAGGGGGTGAGGGTGAGGGTGAGGGTGAGGGTGAGGGTGAGGGTGAGGGTGAGGGTGAGGGGTGAGGGCTGAGGGTGAGGGTGAGGGGGTGAGGGCTGAGGGTGAGGGCTGAGGGTGAGGGTGAGGGTGAGGGTGAGGGTGAGGGTGTAGCTGAGGGTGAGGGTGAGGGTGAGGGTGAGGGTGAGGGTGAGGGTGAGGGCGAGGGTGAGGGTGAGGGTGGGGTGAGGGGGGGGGTGAGGGTGAGGGTGAGGGGTGAGGGTGAGGGTGAGGGTGAGGGTGAGGGTGAGGGTGAGGGCTGAGGGTGAGGGGGTGAGGGTGAGGGTGAGGGCTGAGGGTGAGGGGGTGAGGGTGAGGGTGAGGGCTGAGGGTGAGGGGGTGAGGGCTGAGCTTCACTCTCACCCAAACGCTACCCGCCTGAGTGACTCCGCGCGGGGCCAATCAGAGAAGAGAATGTCACCGCTGGACCAATCACACGAGTGCCTGCGGCGTGAGGGCGGTGCCTGCTGGCAGCAGGTTTGGTTGTGTGGGAGGGCGGCTGTTACCTGGTGGGGATGGCGGTGGGTGCGGGAGAGGCCGCCGCCGCCTCTCCCCACTGCGGGGCGATGGCGTGTGCTCAGGGCTGTCGTTCATCTCTCCGCCTCACCCTCTGCGACGCGCCGGGAGGGGGCGGGCGGGAGGCCGGGAGGCGGCGGGCGGGCGGGGGGGGGGGGGGGGGGAGGCCGGGAGGCGGCGGGCGGGCGGGAGGCCGGGAGGCGGCGGGCGGGCGGGAGGCCGGGAGGCGGGCGCTGGGCGCGGAGAGGAGGCCGCGCTGACGGGACGGCCCTGTGATCGCTGTGGCGCCATCTCGCAGTCAGAGCGGCCGCTGGGGGCGGGTGGGCCGGAAATTCAAATTGTTCGTAGCCCAATGCCACCGAATAATAGCCCAAAAGTAGCCCAACATTGTGCGTTGGCTCCTGATCGACATCAGCAAAGTGCACCGGCTGCTGTAGTGACTGTCTGCTGTAGTGACTGTCTGCTGTAGTGACTGTCTGCTGTAGTGACCGGCTGCTGTAGTGACCGTCTGCTGTAGTGACCGGCTGCTGCTGTAGTGACCGGCTGCTGCTGTAGTGACCGGCTGCTGCTGTAGTGACCGGCTGCTGCTGTAGTGACCGGCTGCTGTAGTGACCGGCTGCTGTAGTGACCGGCTGCTGTAGTGACCGGCTGCTGTAGTGACCGGCTGCTGTAGTGACCGGCTGCTGTAGTGACTGGCTACTATAGTGACTGGCTGCTGTAGTGACCGGCTGCTGTTGTGAGTAGTGACCGGCTGCTGTAGTGACTGGCTGCTGTAGTGACTGGCTGCTGTAGTGACTGGCTACTATAGTGACTGGCTGCTGTAGTGACTGGCTACTATAGTGACTGGCTGCTGTAGTGACTGGCTGCTGTTGTGAGTAGTGACTGGCTGCTGTAGTGCGCTGGCTGCTGTAGTGACCGGCTTCTGTAGTGATTGGCTGCTGTAGTGACTGGCTGCTGTAGTGACTGGCTGCTGTAGTGACTGGCTACTATAGTGACTGGCTGCTGTAGTGACTGGCTGCTGTTGTGAGTAGTGACTGGCTGCTGTAGTGCGCTGGCTGCTGCAGTGACCGGCTTCTGTAGTGATTGGCTGCTGTAGTGACTGGCTGCTGTAGTGACTGGCTACTATAGTGACTGGCTGCTGTAGTGACTGGCTGCTGTTGTGAGTAGTGACTGGCTGCTGTAGTGCGCTGGCTGCTGCAGTGATTAGCTGCTGTAGTGACTGGCTGCTGCAGTGATTAGCTGCTGTAGTGACTGGCTGCTGTAGTGACTGGCTGCTGTAGTGACCGGCTTCTGTAGTGACCGGCTGCTGTAGTGAGTAGTGACTGGCTGCTGTAGTGACTGGCTGCTGCAGTGATTAGCTGCTGTAGTGACTGGCTGCTGTAGTGACTGGCTGCTGTAGTGACCCCCTCCCAACCCCCCGTTCCCTCCTGACCCCCTCCAAACCCCCCCCGTTCCCTCCTGATCCCCCTCCCACCCCACCCCACCACCTCTGCCACTCTCCTAACCCCCCCGCCCCACCCACCATTGGCCGGAGAGAGAGCCTTCAGCCGCTCTGCCCCACAAACCTCTGGAACAACCCCCCACCCGCCCGCCGGTCACTCCGCCTCGGGCCCCCCCTCCTGAGCCTCCTGCCGAGTCCCCCGGCCTCGAGACCCCCCTCCCTCCTCCTCTTCGGGCCGTGCCATCGGCCGCCCCCCCCCCACACCCCTTGCCCTCCCCTCATCTCCCCTCTCCCCCCTCCTCCCTCCCCCCCCCCGACCGTCTCCCCCTCCCCTTGACCGTCCCCCCTCCCCCTGACTGTCTCCCTCCCTCCCCTCCCCCTGACTGTCCCCCCCCCCCCCGCGCGATGCCATGCGGGTACCTTGTGTATCTGGGCGGTTGCCATCCTGTCCGGTCCTGTGCTGCCCCGGGAGCCGAGTCGGGCTGTGCTCAGGGCTGGGGCTGTGCTGGCAGGGCTCAGGGCTGGCAGGGCAGGGCTGGCAGGGCTCAGGGCTGGCAGGGCTCAGGGCTGGCAGGGCTCAGGGCTGGCAGGGCAGGGCTGGCAGGGCAGGGCGGGGCTCAGGGCTGGCAGGGCTCAGGGCTGGCAGGGCGGGGCAGGCAGGGCGGGGCAGGGCTCAGGGCTGGCAGGGCAGGGCTGGCAGGTCAGGGCGGGGCAGGGCTCAGGGCTGGCAGGGCAGGGCTCAGGGCTGGCAGGGCAGGGCTCAGGGCTGGCAGGGCTCAGGGCTGGCAGGGCAGGGCTGGCAGGTCGGGGCAGGGCTCAGGGCTGGCAGGGCAGGTCTGGCGGGGCAGGGCTCAGGGCTGGCAGGGCAGGGCTCAGGGCTCAGGGCGTGAGGACCGACAGCGACCTGCAAACCACAGTCAGTTAGTCAGAGTAACAGCATCGTACACCCCCTCACCCCCCCCCTCCCCTCACCCCCCCCTCCCCTCTCCCCCCCACACCCCCCCCCCCCCCCTCACCCCCCCCCTCACCCCCCCCCTCACCCCCCCCCTCCCCTCTCCCCCCTCACACCCCCCCCTCCCCTCCCCTCTCCCCCC